AAATAGGGGGAACAGGGGGGGGGGGGGGTAAAAGTTCATTACAGTCATGATGGGCGATATGAACTCTACCGAGATAAGTAGACATCAATCCATCAACTCACTAAGGGGCAATAAGAGTCATTAATCTTGACATACTCTGTAAGGATGTAGCGTGTCATTAGTATAAAAGGAATGTGCCTCTGTCTAAACCGATTAACATATGATATGAGGTCAAAAAATTATTTCCAAAAGACTTCTACTTTAAAATAACAAGTGAACAAAGATTAAAAAAAGTGATCACACAGTGTGCAAACTACACCTATAGTGTAATTGCTGAAAGCACCAATGATCCACATTGAGTAGGCCCAAAGTAATTCATGAAAGAAAGAGGGAATAGAAATAGCAACAGAATTACTATGAAAAAACAAAACGTATAAACACCTTAACAAAGTTTAGTAAAAATCATTTTTGTGGAATTGAGTATTCATGGTCTCTTAAGAAGTGTGCTAATCACAGTCCAATTAAAAAAGTTAAAATAAAACAAACCAATGGCTGCCTCTGACAAAACTGAATTTTCACTTGGTTTACATGTTGAACATCAATACCTGATATGCTACTGACTTTATTCTAATAGATACCATTACCTATTTAAGTCACAAAACCAGAGGGAAGTGGGAAGCAGAGTTAAATTCCCAATTGAAAATATTGAATTTTTAGCATGAACTGTATACTTATGTCTAGCTATAATAAAAATCATACTTTAGGTCATTATCCTATTAGGTGCTTCTATCTGAATCACAACGCCAATGAGCTCTATCCAAGGCAAAAAACCTATTCTAACTTCCTCATACCCTGTTTAAAAATCCCCTTTTAGTAACTTTCGTGGCGAAATAGCACACATTCAACCTAGTATTTATTAATTCCTAGTATAGGTACCATGGTCAATAATTCTAAAAAAAATACTTTTAATATCAATAAGTTTAGATGCTAATTGGTCCTCTAAAGATGACAATTTCAGGGAGGGCAGTGGAGAAGGTGGTAGTATGCATGAACGAATAACTAAATTTTTACATGGAGCAAATATTCAGTGGTATGAAAAGAACTTCCGGTGAAACAAAATTAGCACCCTGCCATCAGTTGGCCCAGTTTCGTTATTTTTTTTTTCCCAATAAAACGTGAGCAAAAGATCAGTATCAATGAAGAGCTCCATAACTCACTTGACATATACAGAAAGGTCAGACACTAAAGTCAGAAAAACACGCTAAACATTTCAAAATGCAAAACACTAGAAGAATCAAGGAAATAAAATTTGAAAAGAGAAAACAATGGCTAGATTAACATTCCACATTTGTAGTTAAAATTGAGTGCATGAAACTGATTTCTATATATAGAGTTCTCATGTAATAATTACAAGGGATGAGAACAGATAAACTAACCAAGTCAGAAACAAGGGCCTAAACTTGGAAGCAAATGTTCTTGGGATACATTGTCAGGAAAAATTATAATGTACACAGTCCTGCCAAAAGCCTCCACAAGTTTTCAAAAAAAATTGGGGACAAGAGAATCTAACTTCAAACCACAATGTGTAACCTTGATAGTTGATCAACCAGCGACAGCACTGAAAGATAGCAAGGCAGTCATTATTCATTATTCCAACAGAGAACCTTGAAATATGATATTTCTTCATAATAAAAATTGAATAAAAAATTGCAAAAGCACAGGTACAGATATTATAACCTAAAATCTTTTATTATAAAAGAAATTGAGTCCATGCATAGGCAGGTATAAAGCTCAATCATTCAAAATTGATTTCCTTTTGACGTAAACAATTATGCTATGTAAACCTATCAAAGAAGCACAAATAGTGAATCCAATAGCCAATATCCTTACCCACCAATTGTTCAGATGAAATGGAAAATATTTCTATCAGCATCAAGTAGGCCTCCAACAACTAAGTGCAGGAATATCTGGCCTACAAGACAACATTTGAGGAACACCATGTCCTGAAGAAAGAAATAATGATATTAATGCATAGATATAGTTTCTAGACAAGTGGATACTTAAAGGGGGAAACCAAGAACTAGAAGAAGTACAGAAATGCAAAATAACTAAAACTACCTGTCATAGGAGGAGCAGGCATGCTGCTAGGGTTTGCATGCTGGAAACCTACATTGTTTATTGGTGGTCTTTCAAGTGGTGGCCGAAAATAACCTGTAATTACCATTGTTAAAAACAGCATTTATAACATTCAGATGAATCACAAACACAATACAAAATACCAGTGACATTAGACTAAATACTAAGACCTCCAATACCAATATCCGCCCTATCCTCCCCCCCCCCCCAAAAAAAAATGGACAAACTTCATGAATAAGAGATACAAACTTAATAACCAGCACAAAACATCAAATTGTATTTTACTATGATAATCATTTGTATTTAGTAAGCAAAATACATTTGCATACCTTCCTGTGCAAAGGGAGTACCAGGGTATGAAGGATTTCTCCCTATCCTTAGACCCTGTTGATGGTTTGTTTTAAATTCACTTGTTGACATCCTCCATTGCTCATTAGCAACAAATTGCCTCTGGCCATCTGGAAGTGATGGCAATGAGAATGGAGGATGGAAAGAATGTGGAAGCTGCTGCTGAATTGTAGGCTTTGGATAAGAATATTGATTGGATGGATTTTGGGGTGGGGCAGGATGCATGTGCCTTGGAGCAAATGATGGGTTAACCGGCTGAAATTGCAGATTAGGTTGAGGACCTTGAGAATTTAGATACATATCCTTTTGTCCATATTCCAACTGCCTTGGAGGGTTAAAACCAGAAGGTTCCTGAGAGTTGCAGCCTGCCATTGGAGTAAAGCAAGCAGATGGTTGTTGCAATATTTCATTCTTGACCACTGAACTATTGTGACCTCCAGGAAAAGAATTTACAGCCACTTGAACTATTTGGTTGCCCTGTAGGGAGGACTCCATTTGTCAAAACCATCAAAGCAAACAAATCCAGAACAAACCAGTGATATTCGAAAGCAAAAACATCTTACATTAGTTGAGCCACTAAAATCATGAGGTACACTCTGCTGATACCCTGACAATGGTGATGACTGATGCAATGATTGAGGTGGAACTAATGTCTGGGATAAAAGTGGAGGCTGAACAGGTCCAGATGATTGAGGAATCAGTGAAGGTGGAGGGCCTGGGGCTGGCAAAGGAGGAGGTGGGTGTTGCAACACTTGGGGTGGTGGGGGAGGGGGAGGCGATGGAGATAATGGAGGTAGTGGTGGTGGAGGTGAAGAAGGCAAAGGCGGGAGAGAAGGGGGTGAACCAAGTGGCAATGGAGGAGAACCCTCAAGAATATCAGGTATCTCGGCAGAAATGTCTGAAGCTGGATCCAAAATCCTATCTAAGCCCTGAAGTTGAGAATCCATTTCAGAAGGACTGTTCAATAATACAGGTCTTTCATCCTTTAGGTGAACTGAAACATCTTCCATTTCCAGCTCACCGTCCACATCCTCCAAGATACAATGGCGCTTGTCAGTTGGGGTAACTGTTGAAGTTTCTGAATCCACAACAGTGCGAGTGGGATCTGCTGGAGATGCATTATTCAGAAAATCATCATCTTCATCTTCTTCAAACACCAGAGAAGATAACAATCCAGGCAGCTGAAATGAAGCATTACTGATATATAACAAGAAACAGAGTTAGAAAGCTTTTGGAAGCAAGTAAAAATAGAAATAGAATAGAAAACAATTACAGTTGTTTCATAAAATGAAGAAAATCCTCATGTTGCTGATGACCAGTCCAGCCAAATAAAATAGGAAAATGCGAATGAAAACAAAAATGAAATAAGTTCCATGTATAAATTCATTTTTCCTATAGTGGTAATCGGAGTGATGTGTAAATATAGCTATTTTTAACAAAACTGAAACCAATTTATATTCATACAGATCAATGACACTAGTTTCAACATAACTTTACTCCAATTATTTAGGAGTATTGACATAGCTTTTTACCAAAATGACTGACCCATTTCTTCCTTCTCTGGCTTGCTAACATTCATTTCATACTATCATTTTTTGTATACCAATCATACTGTAAAGCTCATTGTAATACAATAATTCCAAATGTGATATATTCCGTTTTGTGCTGTATCTGTTTTCTTTCTTAAGGAACTAACATTCACTATCTCTCCTGGTTTAAAGATAAGATAGCCTAGTTGTTTAGAAAAGAACAGTGACTCTTAGAAGGAAAACATATGATATATTAATGAGAACAAACATAACACATACCCGAGCTTCCAACCTAATAAAAATGATAAAATGACTAAATGTCACACCTTCCATACTCATCAACAAGCATGCCTTCCATTTCTCTAATTGGGTCATCCAAAGACCGTTCTGCTCGGGAAGGACGCCTGAAAGAAAAACTAACTGTCATATCATCATTTGAAACTCCAATTTCATCCATGTAACGGCGAAGAACTGATTCAGGAAAAATTTTCCTCTCGAGCCACAGCCTTAAAACCTGCAATCCACACATGTAAAAAACAAATGTAATATCCCTCATGCACACAGTATACCCACTTACAAAAAACTAGCATCATAAACTTTCATATATACAAAATTACTTTTAACTATATCATAATAAATAAAAGATTGTAATCAAGCAATAGATAATCCCACAAAATATCATCTCTTCTATTTTTTGGTGATATTGAATGGTCAGAAAGATCTCTCATTCTGCAGACGATGAGAATTCAGATTAAGAGATTCAGTCTACACTAGTATAGTTTACCTTAGTGGTTGATATTTTGAATTAGATGTTCTCAATAATTCTTGATAGAGGTTTGTCAAGGGGATCAAAGTTGGTTCACAGCAAGTTATAGTGTTTCACTTCCAGTATGTGTATGACACAATTCTCTTCTGTGGACAAGAATAGAAGTAGGTATGTTACATTCTTTTTTTCTCCAGCTTACTAAAATTATTCCAGAGCCTCAATTGCTAAAAGCTGCTTGGTGGATACAAATGATGACAATAATTCCCTTTTCTCCTTTACTGCTTTCGCTGGATGCCAAAACTTGCAGAGCCTTCTCACTAATTTGGTAATTTTGGTGGTAATCCTCATAGTTATTTCTTCTAAGGATCCAGTGACTTAAGAGCTCTAAGCATCTAGATAATAACAAAGGATCTTACTTTATCTTGAGTGGACATGTTACCTGCAAAGAAGCCCAATCGTCTAACATTCCACTGTACTATCTGTCTATCTATATCATTTCCAAATTCCACGGTGGCCCAGAGGATAAACAAAATTATGAGTCATTTCCTGGTCCATATTAGTTGGGAGGTGTGTTTTAAGCCCAAAAAGGAGGGGAATGACAGCCTGGTTGCCACTGTTATCAAACTAGAAACCAGATTCATAACCAGTTGAGTTTACAATTGGATCAGATATGTATGAAGCTCAGTCTTTATGTCATTAAACCTTAAACCAGTTCAAACCGGTAAAACCAATCTCCACTCCAAACAAATCATGTGTCCAGCCATGGCCATTGCAATGCAGTCACATTGTCCAAAAAGTTGCTGCTGCCATTCCTG